ACTGTGCTTTGGTCTATCTGGTGACAAGTTCCATTTATAAACCCCCCAAGAATCGCTGTGTTAGAACAAAATCCACCCTTAACACCAGGGAAATTCTGAGGGATTAGGAGCTCTGTGCCAGGAACTGAAGTTAATAAAGACCAAAATAGATTTTTTTTTTTTTTTTTGAGACAAGAGTCTCAATCTGTTGCCCTGGGTACAGTGCCATGGCAGTCTCAGCTCAAACTCCTGGGCTAAAGTGATCGTCTCTTGGCTCAGCCTCCCAAGTAGCTGGGACTACAGGTGGCCGCCACAACACCTGGCTAATTTTGTTTGTTTGTTTGTTTGTTTGTTTGTTTTAGAGACAGGGTCTCACCTTTGCTCAGGCTGGTCTTGAAATCCTGAGCTCAAGCAGTCCACCCACCTTGGCCGTCTCGAGGCTAGGATCACAGGAATGAGTGACTGCGCTCAGCCGAGATTATGAATTTTTTTTTTTTTGAGGCAGAGTCTTACTATGTTGCCCTCAGTAGAATGCTGTGGTGTCACAGCTCACAGCAACCTCAAACTCTTGGGCTTAAGCGATTCTCTTGCTTCAGCCTCCCAAGTAGCTGGGAATACAGGCACCCACCACAATGCCTGGCTATTTTGTTGTTGCAGCCGTCATTGTTGTTTGTCAGGCCCAGGCTGAGTTCGAACTCACCAGCTCCAGTGTATGTGGCTGTCTCCCTAGCTGCTAAGCTACAGGTGCCGAGCCTGAGATTATGAATTTTTAAAAATTGGGTAATACAGATCAGGCAGAATCTCCGCTGACATTGAAGTAGTCAGAAATCAACACTGATGGGCACAATGCAATACCACACAGCATCGTGATATGTTAGGCTTGTGGTCTGTGCACTGGGAAACTCTTACTCAATAGCCATTTATTGCTACTTACAGTATGTCAAGAACAGATCAGTGTTTTTACATTCATTATTTCAGTTTTATCCAAAACCACAGGAAATCACTGTCCAGTTAGACTGAGAGACCAAACTTGCCATAACACACAGTAACTCTATAGCTTAATTGGAAGTTGAACCCGTTTCTTGGAACTTCAAGTTGTTTTTGAAGTAGATCGTAAACTGAAAGGAGAGGAAACTTACCATCTGAAAGGCCCTAAGGTGCCTGGCTCTCTACTGTGTAGTTTCTCAAAGTATATGGTTCTCAGACAGGGATAGGCACATCGCAACACTTTTATTAAATCCTTTTTAACATAGAGTAGAAAATAAAAAGTGACTAACAGTTATCCTGGAAGGAAAGGGAGCAAATGGGAGAGTTAATAATTTGAGAATTATGAGCCATATACACCTTAACCTTTCTCCTTTCCATATATCTTCACAGACATATGGAATATATAGTTCTAGGATAACTATATGGGTAAACAGATATGTCTGTCCAGGGTAGAGGGCTGGAAGGAAAGAGGCTAGCTCAGTATGTTAGGAGAAGAGGCTCCTGGCCGAGAAATTAGAGGCCCAGAGGGTGTCCTAACCTTGAGTTCATAACATTCTACTAATAACCCCTGAGATTCCTTAAGAATTGACATTGAGAATCCTAGAGACCAAAGTCAGTCACGTGAAAGCAAAAATTGAGATGTGTCACATGACACATATTACTTCCCTTCATGCAAAGTCAGAGTAAGGCATATTCATTAAGGAACGCTCATGCTTATTGTGGCAGGGGCTTCTTGCTTCTTGCACCGTCTTGCCAGAGCAAGCCCAGTTAATACAGATGTCACTGAAAATGGAGCTGAGTCTGTAGGAGCCCACTCAGTGTCCAGAGAGCAGCCACAGGCCTGTACTGAATAATAGGTGCACAGACACCTCGATTCTTTTCCTGCATTTATATCAGCTCCCACCCTGCTCAGCAGGATTCTTGCCCTCTAATCTCTGTCTCTCTGCTGCTGTCCTTGTTCCTCTGAGGGCAGGCCTGTGCTTTAGACTCCTTTTAGCATGTAGCGCTGCTCAGCACACCCAGTTGATTCACAGGGTGCTGTTCTTTGCTCTTGGTCTGAACGCTGAAGGGCTCTCCATTCAATGTGACAGTCAAGAAGAAGCACCGCTCCCACCCAGGTGTGTTTCACTGCTGCACCTTCTGCTCCAGCGGAGGCCAGAAGTCCGCGCGCTGTGCCTGTGGGGGCACCATGCCAGGTATGGAAAGTCAGTGCCCTCTGGGTCTGTCTGCCCACAGTGGGCACCAGGCGACGGCCCTCCATGGCCACTCTACCACCACATGTATGGACTTAGGCTCTGTTTCTAGGAAGGACAATCCGTGCAGGGATGCCACTGTTCTAAAAGTGCCATTTAAAGCTTCCTGTCCTGAATGGAGATGGCAGCCTTACAAGTTTCTTCTGCTTTTAGGTTGATAAGGTTCATCGATCCAATGAGCCCTGTGCTTTATTTAGTTATTTATTTTTGAGACAGAGTCTTACTCTGTGTCCTGAGTAGGGTAGAGTACTGTGGTGTCATAGCTCACAACAACCTCAAACTCCTGGGCTCAAGAGATCCTCTTACCTCAGCCTCCCCAGTAACTGGGACTATAGGTGCCTGCCACAACACTTGGCTAATTTTTCTATTTTTAGAGATGGGGCCTTGCTGTTGCTCAGGCTGGTCTCCAGCTCCTAAGCTCGAGCAATCCACCTTCCTCGGCATCCCAGAGTGTTAGGATAACAGGCATGAGCCACAGCACCCAGCCTCTGTGGGATTCTTAATTTCACAGCACCCTTTCCCAGCAGCCTGAGCAGCGAGAAAAATGTAGACCCATCTTATTCCTTTTAAAATTTTAAGTAGATTCCAAATGAGGTGCGTCTGGGGGAGTAGATGATTAGACCAGTCGTTTTGGTGTGGAGGGCAGCATCAGCTCAGGCAGAGGATCTAACTACTTTTTAAAAACTTACTCTAGTATATCCTCGCTTTAATGGTGGGCCATTAAACAGGCTTTTGTGCCCTTCTGTATAAACCCTTCAAGTCTACCTTTTTTTTAAATGTCCACCAATCTACTCTTCTATTTCAGTCATTTTATAGGTTAAACTGGGTTAATTTATTTATTTTGTGGTTTTTGGCCAGGGCTGGGTTTGAACCCGCCACCTCCGGCATATGGGGCCAGTGTCCTACTCCTTTGAGCCACAGGCACCGCCCTACACTGGGTTTATTTTACGGTTAAAGTCCAAAGTAGTTCATCTACTTCAAGTAGCACATTTTAACACTACACTGTTCATAGAACTTTGACTAACATGAGTTGATTTGCTGTGATGTCTTTTTTTTTTGAGACGGAGTCTGTTTTTCGCCCCTCGGTAGAATGCTGTGGCGTCACAGCTCACAGCAACCTCAAACTCTTAGGCTGAAGCGATTCTCTTGCCTCAGCCTCCCAAGTAGCTGGGACTATAGGCATCCACCACAGTGCCCAGCCATTTTTAGAGATTGGGTCTCGCTCTGGCTTAGGCTGGTCTTGAACCTGTAAGCTCAGGCAATCCATTCACCTTGGCCTCCAAGTGCTGAGATTTACAGGCATGAGCCACTGTGCCTGGCTTTTTTTTTTTTTTTTTTAGCAGAAGCAATACAACAACAGTTTATTAAGCTAGGAAAGCTTCCAGCACAATGGAAGGGGTCCCCCATGGCTGGCCACTGTGGTCAGTCTCGAGAGTCCTCCTGATTGCAGAGCCGTCAGGTACCTTGTTCTTCTCACCAGGTCTCTCAGCAATTCTCACCCCTGTGAGTAGGCACGTGGCCAGGGGGCTTTCTTTCCATGGTCACTGTGGGACTCTGTTCTAATGGTCATTTCCCCCTCTCTTTGTACATGCAGGTGGGTACCTAGGCTGTGGCCATGGACACAAAGGCCACCCAGGCCGTCCCCACTGGTCCTGCTGTGGGAAATTTAACGAGAAGTCTGAATGCACATGGGCAAATGGGCAAAGTGCACCCAGGAGTCTGCTTAGGACAGTGGCACTCTGATAGCTAACGCTGCAGCCAGCACCACCCCAGGTTACCAGAAGACCCCAGACCTTGATTAATTCTGAAGAAACGGATAAAATTAAAGACAAAGTGCCTTATCTTACATTGGAGTTTAAGTGCTTTTTGTGTGACTTTCTCAGTGTACTTGCAGATAGTTGAGCACAGAAGACTCCCGCTACATTTCCCTTTTTCTCTCTATTCCCGGCGTCCTCAAACTACGGCCCACGGGCCACATGCAGCCACCTAGGACATTTATCCGGCCCGCCAGTTGTTTTTGCCGCCACTGCCTGTCCTGCTTAGCAGCCAACTCATCCCAGGGCCCGCAGTCCGGCCCTCCAATGGTCTGAGGGACAGTGAACTGGCCCCCTGTTTAAAAAGTTTGAGGACCCCTGCTCTATACCACTGAGTACAGGGATGTAGGTGTCTGTGCCACTAGAACTTAGAAATCATAGGGGCTAAGTCTTTATTTTCTAGTACAACCATTTTTATTTTTCCCTGAGCTGTAATATCATTTAGATATTTCCCTCAAAAAATAAGAACGTCCTTCCATCTTATCCAGTTTTCATTAGCACACTTGTGGTGGGTTCACTGATGGCCATGCTTGTGACCATTCTAGAGCGACCACTGCTGTTACTGTGGGCATCCCCCTCCTCCCTCTCTATGCCATGTTCACCCACTACCCCCAAACCTGGCAATTCCTGTTTGGCCAAGGACCTACATACGGAAAGTCAGTAAGGGGAATGGTGTTGATTTAGACCCTCTCACATTTATTGCAGTTCTAGTCATGCCGGACACCTTTGCCTTCCTCACACCTCTCTGTTTTTTGGAGAGTAGTCTTTGCTTTTGTCTCGATAGCTGGAAACTTAGCTGGAGTCTGGCTCTTACATCATGCCTTCTTGGCTGCTAGAGAATTCTGGGGAGAATATGTGCACAGTGCCAGGACTTCAGCCCTGCCCAGGTCTGCACTGTACAATTTTATGTGTTCTTTTGAGACTCTAGATTTCTTAAATAGCAATAAACTCAGCATATATGAGATGCAATTATTGAAATCTGCATTGTACGATCCCTTAAGGCGTGAGTGACTCATCTGAGTAGTGAACTGGGTCAGGCAAGGAAATGAAGTGACTAGATGATGACTGTCAGGTCATCGGGGAATACATCCCTCCCTGGAGCCGACAGACATGGGCTGCACTATAGCCATAAATATTAAGATGTCACCCATACCATGGAGGAAATATTCCCTTCAGCCTCTTTCTGTGACCCAAATATGGTCTTCCCAGAAGACACTGCTGCCCAGTCACCCTCTCAAGTTACTAGCTATCTGCTCCTCCCTACTTTTTCTGTCACTGGGCCCAGAGATCAGATGGGATCCTTTGGGTTCCTCACTGCTGCTTTAAGATCAGTGGTTCTCCCTGGGCAGCACTTCTGGGAGTGTCTGGGAGACACTGCATTTGACACAGTTGGTCACTTACCCCCATGAAACGGTCTCTTTGTCTGGGGTATGTGGACCCTCTTCTGGCCACCCCATCTCTGGCTGCTCCTTCTCCGTCTCCTCTGCTAACTCTCCCCCTTCTTCTAGTTCTCTACCTGGGTCCGTTTTTGCATTTCTGTCTTTCCCCCACTTCCTCAATGATCCTGTCATGACTCTACTACCAACAGCCCCCAAATTTATCTCCAGATCCAACAGCTTAACCTCCCTCCTTGTGTGGACACTGGGCACCTCAGATTTCAGATATCCAAAGTAGTTTCCACATCTCACTTCCCATTTGCCCACCATCACCAATGCTCGTCCTGCAGTCGTGTCCCCCTCTTCAGGAGGAAAGTACCCGTCTGTTGTTACAGTTGGTGAAGCCAGTGGCCATGGAAACACCCTTGACTCTTCCCTCACAGGCCGCTTCCAGCCCATGGTCGGGCCCCGTCCGCCCCACCTTCATTTACAGACACACCTCCACGTGCTGTGCTCTGGTTTGTCACACCTCTCATGGATGCATTTTTTGCAAATTGAGCCGCATTTGTGGCAATCCTGTGTTAAGCAACTCTGTCTGTGCCATTTTTCCAACAGTACGGGCTCAATTCATATCTGTCAGCATTTCCTAGCATTGAAGTACTTTTAAACTAAAGCATATACACTTTTTTTTTTAAAGACATAATGCTATTGCCTACTTGATAGACTACAGTATGTGTAAACATAACTTTTATATGCACTGGGAAACCAAAAATACCATGTGAGTCACTTTGAGATACTTAATCCTGGTGGTCTGGAACTGAACCTGCATTACCTCAGAGCCATGCCTGTGTCTGTGGGCCACTGCTCTACCTCCGCTGCTCCATCTTGATCTAAGACATTCCTCACCTGAAGTTTGCAGCAGCCTTCTAACTAACTGCTCTCACTGTTTCCACCCGTGCTCCCTTATAGTATACCCTCCATCCAGTAGCCGGAGAGCCTTTTCTTCTTCTTCTTTTTTTTTTTTTTTGCAGTTTTTGGCCAGGGCTGGGTTAGAACCCACCACCTCCGGCATATGGGGCCAGTGCCCTACTCCTTTGAGCCACAAGTTCTTCTTTTTTTTTTTTGAGACAGAGTCTTGCTTTGTTGCCTAGGCTAGAGTGCAGTGGCCTCAGCCTAGCTCACAGCAACCTCAAACTCCTGGTTTAAGTGATCTTTCTGCCTTAGACTCCCAAGTAGATCAGACTACAGGTATCTGCCATAATGTCTCACTCTTGTTCAGACTGATCTCAAACTCCTGAGCTCAAGTGATCCTTCTCCTCAGCCTCTCAGAGTACAGAGATGACCCGGCTGCACTACCTCGCCCAGCTGAGAGGCTTTTCACATCTCTCAGCACTGTCCAGTGGCCTCTCACCTCCCTCCAAACCAAAGCATGTCTTTACATCAGCATGGAAGACCCCAAGGGATCCACACCCCTGATCTCTGATTTCCCACCTCCTGCTTGCCGCTCCACGCCAGCCAGACTGGCCTGCCTGCCACTCTTCGCGCCCTCCGAGCACTCTGTCTTGGGCCTTTGCAGTCCCTGTCCCACGTCTGAAGGCTCTTCTCACAGCCACTGTTGTGACGCGCCCCCTCCTCCTCTTCAGGTTTGTGCTCCAGTGTCAAATATCCTATCAGTGTGCTCCTAACTGCCCTGTAGAAAACAACAGCTCCCCAGCCCGGGCTCCCGGTCACTGACTCGGCCTCCTCACTGTCTCATGCTTAGTCACCTCTGTCACTGTCTCTCCTCACACTACTGAACCCTCTATGGGGCAGGGACTTGACATTTACCAGCTACTACGCTGTCCCCATGAAGGACAGTTCCCGGCACATAACAGAAGCTTAACATTATGTGGAATAAAGATCTAATTGGTACAATTTTTAGTTTGGCTCTCCATGGGATGTTTTTATAAAGGCAGACTTCCCTTCTCCCCAACCTCAATATTTGTTATTTAGCCAAATACCACTTGGGGAAAAAAAAATCTCAGCCTTCTCTCAAACCTGTTGAATAAATTCTATGCCCCTGAGGGACCAGCCTTGAATTTTCCAATGACCTCAGACATCTAGGGAATTGCTTGCCGTGAAGAAGCCTGTTGTATTGTATCATCTTTCCCCGTGTCTTTTAATGAATCAGGTTTCAGAACTGAGACTAAAGCTCACCATCCCTTTCCGTTGGAAAAGATTTCAGTAATTGGACAACTCGATGTGAACGGAGTTATACTGCAGTAGAAATTGTCCATGAGATAATCTACGTTCTGCTGATGCCTTAGCCTTTAAGCAATATTAATGATAGCAACTCTGCTGCAAATATTTAAAGTTTACCTGAGTGGTAGGGAGGGCCTAGTCTTTGGCCTACACTACAATGAAGTGTAAATCCAGTAAAGCCAGTTTAACAAGAGGCCGCCCCAGCCAAAAGACCTGGGAAAGTGAGAGGGCTGTACAGAGCCAGTGGCTCCACGGTGAGGAGTAAAGGAGCTGGAGTTAGGAATCGTGCCCAACGTAACCCAGTGCTTCAGAAATCATCTGAGTTGGGAGCATTGAATCATCAAGACGCAGCAGGGTGATGATGTAAGCCATGCCCTGGGGTTACAGGTGAGAACAAAGAGCGACACTGAGAGCCTCGGTCCTCCGGGAGGTTGTAACAGGATAAACATCTTGGATAATAAACATCCATGAACCCGTCAGGCCGCCGCTCTCCACTCACTGAGGCGCTATAGCTGCTCAGCTCCACCGCACCAGGCCCGCTCAGTTTTGAGGTGAAGCGAACGCTCCTCAGAAGCAGGTGCAGTGGAGCAGAGGCCCCTCACTGCAGCCTCATCAGCATCTCACACTGATTTCACTTCCTTCACTTCCTCAAGGGCTTCCCCCACTTGGTCAAATCCCTGTTGTCAGCCCTTCCAGCTGCACGGATGTTGCCATTGCCGTGCTCATCACGGCCACTTCACAGCCACACTTACGTGATGAGTCCTCCCCCCTAGATGCTAAGCCTCAGAACAGAACGGTTTTGTGGTTTTACTTATTTTCAGTACCCAGCAGTGCTGGTGTATATATATATATATGTGTTCATATATATATATATATATATATATGTGTTCATATATATATATATATATATATATACACACACACTCTATTTTTTATCGTTTTTTGAGATAGGGTCTCTGCTGTGTGGGCTGGAGTGCAGTGGTGTCATCACAGCTTGCTACAACTTCAAACCCCTGGGCTCAAGTGATCCTCCTGCCTCAGCCTCCTAAATTGCCAGTAGTAGTCATGTACCACCATGCCCGGCTATTTTTTTTCTTCTTTTTTTGTGATGGCTTCACTGTGCTGCTCAGGCTGGTCTCAAACTCCTGGCCTCAAGCAATCCTCCAGCCTCAGCCTCCCAAAGTTGTGATTACAGACATGAGCCACCGTGCCTGGCCTGTATTTCTGAATTAATGTTTATGAAATATTAAGCAATAGAAATACTCTCCTTATCTTTTCTTTCACACATAGTCTCTGCCTACACTCAGATTAAGCTATTGAATCTGGGTGAAAGGACTCAAGATGATAAAATCATTGCATGGCTGTGTGCCTGCTTCCCTGTTCCTCCCTAGGGCATAGGCTGTTTTACCCTTTTCATCTGATCCTCTAGAGCTACTTACTGACTAGTGTTTAATTCTTTTTTTGTTTGTTTTTGGCCGGGGCTGCATTTGAACCCACATTCTCTGCCATATGGAGCCAGCGCCCTACTCCTTTGAGCCACAGGCGTTGCCCTTCAGTTTTATTTATTAAACATCTTAGTCTAGGTTATATACCTAGGAGTTTTTAATGTCTATTATAATTTTCTTTGGGCCTGCAGGTATGCTTTTTAATTCTTCCTGCCCTTTCCTAGGGTGGCTAGATGCTATTGAACAGCAGTACAGTAACCCACTTTGTGAACCCCATTCTCTCAAGGTATACGGTAGACATCAGGATTTTAGACAAAGGAGAGGCCTCACTGAGCACTGGGTTCCCATCTCTATTGTTAGTGCAGGAGAGTCTGGCTTTACCAAGAGCCCTGCTAAAAGCCCCTTTCTTCAGTGAGAACGATCAGAGGAAACAGCTCAGTGTTTGTCAACAGCTGCGATAAATCATCACGCACAACTGCCAGAGAAAGGGGTTATGTCCCATAAAGATATAATGCTGTTCATAATGACTGTATGGCAACAGGGGTCCATGATCAGACTTTTAAAGGGCCCAGGATCCCCCCCAGCTGTGGCATGCATGCATGATGCTCTTGTTTGATCAATGCAATTAAAGAAAAGCCCACATATACACCTTCCACAAAGGCGATTATGTCACCTAAGAAATACTGTGTGAGCCTGGTGCTCGGGAATGTCATGTTTGAGTGACAGACGCTGGCCACCTGGCCCCTCAGCAGCAACCATGCTGAGGCTTTGTTATTCTCAGACGCCCAGACCAAGTCCCACAGCAATGACACGCGCAGGTGTGTGGCACTTCGTGGTTTATAAAGCGTTTATTACTTCATATCACCCATGCTGAGCCTGCCGCAACAAGCAGATGATGTAAAGAGAAAATCCGGCCACGTGCTGTCCCTGGCAGGACTCAGTGGAGTACCACGATAGGGCTGCTACACTGTGGGTGCTGCCCACTGCTAGATGCCCAGTTAGAGCCAGAATTTAATAAACTGACTCACATGAGCCTGAGATAGACACCAGATAGACTTACATTCATTCCTAATGAGACTTTCCATCCCAGGACGAGGATTTCAGGATGTGATTTGGTATATGCCATACGGTGGTTCCAATGATTCTGTATCTACATTACATCAACAGCAACTCACAGAAACACCTACCCAAGACATGATAGGTGGTTTTGCTAGATTATAATCAGAACAAGGAAAATGAGAGAAACTGTTTAAGACAGCAGGAAGCAGATTACATCTGTCAGTGGGCTCTGCACATCTGAAGACTGTAGATTATAAATAACACCTGCAACCTTCTCTAAACTAAAATCCAGAAAGCTAACCCTGAAAGTTGAAGAATTCTTCCTTAAACAGTGCTCGACTGGACACTGACAATGTGCATCTAACATCTGAATGACGTCACTGATTCCTATCTTCTGGCCAAATTACAGTGTACATGTTATTAGATTCCCAGTGGAGCATGAACCATATGCTAACCCACACATTTTATAGGGAAAGGACAAGGATGCCCAAGGAGTCTGCAACTTGCCTATACCAGATACTCAGCAAACGGCAGGGCACTGGATGCACAAACGCTGCAGCTACAGTAGGGTCTGCACATTCTCACTGCCCTGCAAGCCGCTTCTCAGGTGAGACTATCCTTACCTCGGCATGTTGATCTCACAGTGTAACTTCAAAAGGGTAATCTTCCTTTGCCTCCTGATTTTGTAGCTACAGAGTTCTAAAAACAATGCCCACCTTACAAATGAGGAAACCAAAGCGTAGAAAAGCTAATAGATTTTTTCAAGATTACACACCCAGCTAAGGTGAAACCAGAACGAGATATAAAGTCTAGGATCTAGGCCAGAATAACACCCACCAGGCCATTGTCTTCCCCTCTGTAGGCCTTTAGACCTTGTTAGAAGGAAACTTTGCTTAAGGTAGGAGGTTCCAGCACCTCCGTCCGGTGTAGCTGGGGAGCATTGGCACCATCATAGCTGTCTGCAGCCTCAAACTCCTGGGCTCAGGCATCCTCCCCCCTTAGCCATCTGAGTGGCTGGGTCTACAGTAGTGTGCCACACGCCTGGTTAATTTTTTTAATTTTTGTAGAGACATGGGTCTCGCCATGTTGCCCAGGCTGGAAATATTTCTATCTAGGAAAAACTGATTCTTGCTAGCAGAAATTAGCAGAGTATTTGGGGAGCAATCACTACAGAAAATAAGGAAATCTGAATAGTTTCCTGAAGTATAAAAGTCTCCAACTGTTTGTATTAATCATGGTACTAACTGTTGTAAAACAACCTCCAGATCTCAGTGACTTAAAAAAAAAATTACTTCTTGATCAGGTCATAGCCAATACGGGTGAGCTGGGAAGAGGGCGGAAGTGTACATGCAGAAAGAAGCCTTCAATGCACAGAGCCATTCAGGGACTGAGGCTTCACTCGTCTGATGAAAGGGTCTGTGCACACAAACTAGGCTAAGAGCCCTGGATCTTCTGGCTTCACCATTCCCTAAGGCCTGGTAGTCTTCCATCAGCTCCTCTGCATCCAGTAGGCTGGGGAGGGAAGAAACAGCCTGGACAGCTGCTTGCAACGTTTTAGAGGGCAGCCTAGAAAAGGCTCACATCACTTCTTTCTATCTTCCATTGACTAGAACTAAGTAATATGGACCCTGTGTAACTGCAGCAAAAACCAAGAAATAATTTCTTTCTGGAAGTCCAGGAGTGAAAGGAAATGGTGTTTGGTGAACATATATGTTGTTAACTGTGCTACACTGTCAAACGCATATTAGATCATGCCAGTAATAATACAAATATTAGATGATACAGTGGTACGAATACTAATGTACAAACACTAAATGAAACAATGACACTAAAGGCTACACTGTAAATTTGTAATATAAATACCATAAAAAACCCAAATATTAAACTACATGATGGAGATACTAAATGATACAATGAAACCAAACAACACATATACTAATGATATAGTCATAACCAATACTACATGTCACGGGCACACCGGTAGCAACAGGCGCAGATATTAAATGATGCACCCACACCACACCATACAACGTCAGGGACAGACACGGATACTAAGTATCTTCTGACGCACAAAGCATGTCCTTGACCTTAAGCTATGGAGGAAGACCTGCCTGGGCCGACAGCTGCAGGGATCTACTCTCTGCTCTGCCCCTGAGGGACGGTTATGGGAGCAGTCCCTTTGGCAAGAAGGGATGAGGAGATGGGATGGATGGAACTGGGTATAACACTGGTTCACCTATTAACCCAGGAGAAAATGGCAACGCAGAACCTTTGGAACTTTACTGACGCTTTGTCCAATTCTGCCTGAGTTGTTTTCCAAAATCATTTAACTGTAAAGCATTTTCTTTCATCTGAAATCCTTGGTTCCGACATCCCTCATTAAGCAAGCTAACAGGTGGTTAACATGACCCTGAACGGTCGGGGATGAGATGACGCCTCGTTCCAAGGACAGGGAAGGACTGATGGTGAAGTGACACAAGACAGAGCCCTGTGGTCGATCACTATTCTGAGACCTGAACACAGAGCAGCAGTGGGACCGCCCTGGGCCCTCACACACAGGTCAGATGCCAAACAGAACTTTGAGGTCGGCCAGCGTGAGCTTGGAGACGGACTCTCCAGACCCTGACAGAACCTGTTGGGCCAAACATTTCTTCTTCTCTTGGAGATGCAAGATCTTCTCTTCCACTGTCCCCTCGCAGACAAATCTGCAAAAAGACAAGAAAGCAAACCGTTAGAGACCCAAAGCAGCTTATCTAGTAGTGTAGTTAAGCTTCTATCATGCTGAGTCTGTAGCAAGAATTCCTTTACATTTTCTGTGGTTTGGTTAAGAACCTTATGTTTCAGGATCCAAACAGCCTCAACTGGATACATGTCCATTCACGATGATGTGGCTCAAATTGCCTTTTTAGTGTTTTTTGAAGCTAAGGTATTTGAGAAAGCCCAAAATAAGCAAAAGACATCCCTATCCAAGAAAAGTATAGAGATCCAGTTTTTAGCTGCCAAACATCATCTTGATAAGGTCAGAAGGCTGCAAAGGTTACCCAGTTTCTGCGAGGTATCTGCGTACCAGTTTAAGTACAGAGTGCCTAATTTCTTAGCTAATTCACACTGAAAACAGGTTTTTAAAACCAAGAAAACACCACTGTTATCACTTGTTCAACACATTATTGATAAGCCGTCAGTGTGGACCATGCACTATGGACTGCAGACCATGCCCAGCAGAGACAGAAATTTTGCAGAGGCCAGCGTGGTGTCTTATCCCTGTAATCTTAACACTCTGGACAGCCAAGACAGGAGGATTGATTGAGCTCAATAGTCTGAGACCAGCCTGAGCACGAGTGAGACCTCCTCTCTACTAAAAATAGAAAAACTAGCTGGGTGTTCTTGCTTGTACCCATAGTTCCAGCTACTTCGGAGACTGAGGCAAAAGGATCTCTTGAGTCCAAGATTTTGAGGTTGCTGTGAGCTGTGATGCCGCAGCACTCTACCTGGGGTGACCAAATTTTTTTTTTTAAGAAAGGGAAATACAGGGGTGGGACACAATTATAAGAGGGACTTTATGTAACAAATGCAATCAGTGCAACCTATGAGTTGTGTCCTCATAGGTTTGGCAGCTAAAAACTGGATCTCTATACTTTTCTTGGATAGGGATGTCTTTTGCTTATTTTGGGTTTTCTCAAATACCTTAGCTTCAAAAAACACTAAAAAGGCAATTTGAGCCACATTCATTGAGTCCTATGTGTCCTCAATGAATCCCCCAAAATAAAAAAATAATAATAATAACAAATGGAAAAAGAAGGGAAATAGAGAGCGAACAGAGAAGAAAGCTAAGACAGGGAAACTAACATAATCGTTGTATGTGGCCGAGTTTGGAAGTCATCTGTGCCCCTTGACAAGAGCAGTTTCAGGGGAGCCCCGGGGGGAAGGCAGCTTGCAAAGGCTGGAGTGAGTGGGAGGTAGCAAGTACAGACAGGTGGGATCGCTGAAGAAAGCAAGGGCCACGGCACCAGTGGATTACAGCAGTAAGGCAGGTTGTACTTTTTGTTTTTAAAGACGGGGGGGGGGGGGTCCCAAATAGAAGAACATGCTGCAAAATCCCTGGCTTGTGCCCTTCAAACTATCAACATCCGAAACACAAAGACTGAGGAGACAAAATCATGGCAGCAGCTGCTACCAGGATCTGGGGTTTTCTTTTGCTGTTTTAAAGGACATCGTTGGGACAAATGGTGAAACTGAGTAAGGTCCACAGATCACAGTATTTTATTAATGATTAATGTTAATGTCCTAATTTTGATAGTTTTGTATTTGGGATTATGTAAGAGGGTGCCCTTAGTTTTGGGAAATGCACAGTAAGGTACTGAGAGGTAAAGGAGCACCGTTACCTACAACTTGCTCTCTAATGGTCCGACACACACGCACACACACACACACAGCCCAAGGCAACTTTTTGGGACTATTCTTACAACTTTTCTATATGTTAGAAATTATATCAAAGAAAAAATTCAAAGCAAGAAAAAAGAGGGGAGGGTCCTTTCACAGGCCACCTTGGCTGAGATGCGGCTGACGGTTATACCCAAGCTTGCTCCTCTTCTGCAGGGACCAACTCCAAGCTTCCCCCAAATTGCTTCTGTCTCTTTCCTGACTAGTGGGCCCGAGGGGAGGACTCAGAAGCATCCTTAGTACAGTGATCACCAAACACTTCACGTTCTAGTAAAACGCTATTTAAGAAAGACTTTCATGAAAGCAGAAGTTGGTAAGAGGTCCTGGGACCTGGGGACCTTTACTTACTTGTGTATAACAACATCTTTCTGCTGTCCTACTCGGTAAATTCGGTCACAAGCTTGATCTTCAAGTGATGGATTCCTGTTAGAGACAGGTAAAGGTCAAAGGTCCTGACACTAGAATATGTGACAGAGAACCATGGCGCCTAGAAAGCCTAAAAGGTTTACAGACAAAGTCTGTTGGCCTGGGTCCTGGGCCACATTGGCTTAAGACAGGTTAGTGCCAGATATCTTCTTGGCTTCTAATGAGAAATTGGGCTCAGACTGCTAATTATAACTCTCAGCACCATCATCAGTTTATGACTGCAAGTGACCGTAAATAGTGAAGGTGGAAACAACTCAAATCCAGTCTCCAGCTGGTGGGATGACCTTGGGCAAGCGGCCTAACCTCCAGCTGGCGGGATGACCTTGGGCAAGTGGCCTAACCTCCAGCTGGCGGGATGACCTTGGGCAAGTGGCCTAACCTCCACTTGGTGGGATGACCTTGGGCAAGTGGCCTAACCTCCAGCTGGTGGGATGACCTTGGGCAAGTGGCCTAACCTCCAGCTGGCGGGATGACCTTGGGCAAGTGGCCTAACCTCTGCCTCGAGGCTTCAGGTGCTGCTGGGAAATGTGAGGGCTGCTCACGGGAGCCATCAGCAACATTGGTCATCTTTGCTATTCTGTGGCCCAACTAAGGGACCTCATTTGTTTCCTTCTTTGTTATCAACTCCAAATTAGTTTTTCATTTTATCTTTTTTTTTTTTTTTGGAGACAGAGTCTCACTCAGTCATCCTGGATAGAGCACCCTGGAGTCAATGTAGCTCACAGCAACCTCAAACTCTTGGGCTCAAGCGACCCTTCTGCCTCAGCCTCCTGAGTTGCTGGGATTATAAGCACCCGCCACAACGCCCAGCTAGTTTTTTCTATTGTTAGTGGAGATGGGGTCTCACTTTGCTCAGGCTGGTCTGGAATGCCTGAGTGCAGGCGATTCACCCACCTCAGCCTCCCAGAACTTTCTCATTTGACCTCTTTAAAACCTTGAATAACATTTCTCCATCTCAGGAAAAAACCATAATTCCCAGTATGCTTTCCTCATGGATGTGTGTAGAGGAGTCCCAAGGAAGACCTAGACACGTCTCCTGGGAGACAGTAACAGGTGATGTACAGGCACCACCAAGGCTGCCTGAAGGGTGAGACCAGTGACTTCCAACCAATGTGCCGTGAAAATCTTTAAAGATCACTAATTAAATTATTTTCAAAAGAAGTTCAAAGCACAGTAAGTATATTCTTTTTTCCACTCCTTCTTTTGATAAAGAAGGAGTGGGCGCCTGTAGTCCCAGCTACTTGGCAGGCTGAGGCAGAGAATTGCTTAAGCCCAAGTATTGGAGTACCTGTGAGCTGTGATGCTACCACACTTTACTAAGGGCGATACAGTGAGACTCTGTTCCCCCCCCCCAAAAAAAAAGAAAAGGAAAAAGAGTATTTCTAACATAACTGGAACTCTCATTTGCCTTTTTCTTTGAAGGAATGTTTTTCCCTCTTCTCCAAGGTTGAGATCTCCTTGGATCTTAACAAGTATGTCTAGAATACGATATTCTGGAGAAGAGGTAAAACTGAGCAGTGTTAGCTCTTTGCCATGAAGGAAAAAGTGTGCTCCTTGTTTCCATGGAAACAGATGCTAGATTACCAATCAGGGGAATGAACTATTTTAAGTAATCATTTGAAGCCTTGCTTGCTCAGGAATCTGGGGGCCTCAGCGGCCCTGCACCCTGTTGAGCTCTGCATCTACAGACATACACACACAGAGGCATCTCCACAATATGAAGACAGCACATCTGGGGTAAGAAATCAGTCCCGACTGCCCCTCTGGCCCACTGGCCTCCCTGCTGTGCTGAGAACAACTCAAGAAAAATCTAGAATCATTACCAGTGCATGTCCAGAAGGAAAAGATGGTTCCCTCCAGTCAGGTTTAGACCAACACCTCCAGCCAAGAGAGAGATTAGCATAACCTTCAAAAGAAACACACAGTTAACTTTATACGGACTTGGTCCAGTAACGCACCTCTCCTGGGTCTCAGGATGAAGCACAAGATTCATACAGATAAGCAATGCCTTCCTGTCAAATTTCCTTCTGTGGTTACAAATGCACTTTTCTGAAACATTAAATGTCATCTCCCATGTCTGATCTTTGAGAAAATTCTCACATCCCATTTTTTTTGCATAAGTCAACCTCAAAAAAATTAATTGAGTGCCAGACAAAATACAGAAATACTGTAATTTAGATTGCTGGGAGTGGTCAGCTCAGTAAACTGTCCATGAACTAGACTACATCTATGCCTTCAGTCCCGGCCCCTCCACTGCTATGATCATTCTTCTGCCTATCATTCAATACTGCTTTCCAAATCCGTACTCTCTATAATTAGATGCCTTTGTTCTTCCATTTCCTTCCACGTTTCCTTGTATCAAAATCCCATCTATCTTTTAAGGCTTGCCTCCTCCACAAAGATTCTCCTGATCCTAACCAGCTCTGCTCTTAATCTCCTTTTAGTCATCATATTTTATTCTCTTTAGAGCATTTGTGCACTTTGATAAGTAGCCCAATATATGTCTAACAAATTATAAACACTTGGAAGGATCAAGGGTGTGAATATCTTTTAAGTTAAGTTGCTATATTATAATTCCTTCTATGTAACTCAGAATAGTTTGCTATTAATTACATGGCTGTGACGTGACCAGCTCACACCTGAGGGCTCGTGGAATGGTTAAATGCCTCTACCAAGTCCATTCTCTGTTTGGGGTTGACGGAGCCATCGATGGTGGCATAGGTCAGTCCCTGCCTCCTCAGGTGCAACGCTGCAACTTTCAGCATGCTGGTCCACTGAGAGACAATGACGCTGGAAAGAAGGAAAAAAAATCCTAAAACACTATAGATTATACAAACTCATCTAAGATTAGTTATCAGCTATAGACTAGAAAAGGCCTTCTGGCTGGGCACAGTGGCTTGCTCTATAACTTTAGCACTCTGGGAGGTTGAGGAGAGAGGATTGCTTGAGGTCAGGAGCTCAAGACCAGCCTGAGCAAGAGTGAGACCTCATCCCTACTAAAGATTAAAAAAAAAAAATTTAGCCAGGCATAGTCCCAGTTACTTGGGAGGCTAAGGCAGGAAGATTACTTGAGCCCAGGAGTTTGAGGTTGCTGTAAGCTGTGATGCCATGGCACCTTACCCAGCGTGACAGAGTAAGACTGTTTCAAAAAAAGAAAAAGGAAAAGGCCTTCTGCTACCTAAGAGGCACACATTTAGGTCATGTTATAAGGTTACAATAGTTCCAATTATTTCTATATCCATTCTATAACTTATTTAGGACTAGATAAAGTCAGAAAAAAGTGGCTGGCAGACCAAACACAAGGACCTCAGCCTTTCCTGTGCTCTGGGTAAGCACAGTGGGCGCCCAGGGCTCACCCAGAGACCTGTGGTCCTGCAGGGAAGGGCACCACCACCCTCCTGGTGCCAGCCAGGCAACAAGCGGCTAGGCCACCCTGGCCCACAAGCTACACTTCAGAGTTTTTATTTTTAGGTTGCAGTATTTCACGCAGATGTATACCACATATGTAAAGTATAACAAATGACAAAATGACCTCCTTGTATCCAAGCACCCCGTCTAGCAATAACAGTACACCCACTGCTGGAGTGCCAGAAAGTGTCTGACTTTCCTGCCAGTCCTTCACTTTCCTTTCTCTGCTTCTCTACTTTAAAAAACCTGTTTGGATGCTCAGCCTACCTGGATCCTCTAGGGATATCCTCCTTGATCTGTACCACAAATATTTCAACTGGAAATCACAGGGAACTTGTGCTATAACCTCAGTACTTTCTGCTGAGCATGACTCAAGGTCCTTGGTACAAAAAGCTAAGACTCACAACTATCAGCAATATCACATTTTCTTGTTTAGTGCTGACCAATACTTGGATAATGAAATAACACACCTCTTTTGGGATCCTAAATTTCTTTGGATTGCCTTCAATTCTGCCAACAGAGATGTTATCTGGGAAAAGGATACATGAACATTGTAGGATTAAGCAATTCATCTCTCCCTCTTCCCTGACCTGAAATACCAAGGCAGCCTCACGGATGCCTTCTACACATGGGCTCAGACCTCTATTCCACTCTCCTCTGCAGCCAGAAGGCAATTTCTTAGATACACGTTTGTCATCCACCACCGCCCCCGGCCCCGCCACCCTGCTGAAGCTGATAAAAGGCAAACTCCTCCAAATGACCTGCTGGATCCTTGCTGTTCTGGCCTCTACTTATCTATTATTATTATTTTTTTAAGGCACGATCTTGCTCTGCTGGATCCTTGCTGTTCTGGCCTCTACTTATCTATTATTATTATTTTTTTAAGGCACGGTCTTGCTCTGTTGCCCAGTCTAGAGTACAGTGGCATCATCACAGCTCACAGAACCCTCAAACTCCTAAGCTCAAGTAGTCCTCCTGCCTCGGCCTCCCTTAGCTGGGATGACAGCTGTGCACCACCACACCTAGCTAATTTGTCTGTTCTGTTCCCTTTGCCTAGAGTGCCCTTACATGTCAGTTTAATGTCATATCTTCTCGGAGGGAGGTCTTCGCCAGCCCTCAAATATGATGTAGATGCCCACTGCCTAGCTACTCCTATGGAACCTGGTGTTTTTATTCTCGTGGTCCTTACTACATGATGCATTAATTCTTCATAAAGGATTGGAGATTCGCTGAGGATGCAAAGGCAGCATTAGTCTGGTTCATTTCTATACTCACAGCCCCCACTATACTCTGGGACAGAGAAGGTACAATCCCAACATTTGCAGAAGGAGAAAGCAAGACCACAGCACAGAGGCTTTATGGCCTCCAGATGTTGGTGAGAGCACAGAGGCTTTATGGCCTCCAGATGTCGGTGAGAGCACAGAGGCTTTATGGCCTGCCCCAGATGTCGGTGAGGAAGAGGACATTTCCCAACTGTGGCACTCAAAGCTTCCAAACAAGCTCTCTGAGTCTTTACCAAAAACCTTTAGGGTGCCTGAGTCCACACAGGAGCAGTCAGTGTGAACACGTGGGCCATGGCTTTGGGGTGCATTTCACTGGGCTGGTTCTTCCTAACTGCTATTGAGAAGGACCATCTGAAAGTCCCCACGGGCCCTAGAGGTCACCCCCCAGTAGAGGAGGGAGATAGCTGGACTACGAGTCAACCGAGAGATGAACACAGAGCAGTGCTCGTTGTCACCGTCCTGGAACTCAGGTTCCTTACCCGTGAAAAAGAAGGGCTAGAGACAGAGAATTTTGAGGGACCCCGAACCCCGCCATGTGCGGCTGCTTTCCAATCTCAACAGACATTCTGACACTGGGGCAGAAGTAAGCACAGGACTGTACCCTCTTCATCAGCAGAAAAAAGCAGGTCCATTTGCACTTTGCCAACAATAGAACAGAGACACTGAAGCGTCTGGTGTCTGAGCAACTTGACACTATGTAAGGCGCTGTGATTCCCACATGAAAAAGCCAGCAGTGGATGATTAGAGAAAACCTGTAGGAGGACTAAGTGCACGGTCTGTACACTGAGGTCGAATAGGGTGAGAAGATCCCTCTCTGCAGGAAACAACCTTAAGTAGTTGGAACCTGTACTAATGGGTATACGTGAAGAAGCCCGGGGAATAAATATCACCCGAGCAGTAGACAGGAACACAAATTACTAGGGATACGGTAAGTTTCAACCCAAAGGCTGTGAAGGTGCTCGAATTTGAATGTCAGCCCATAGGGTGCTCTAATGTTTCTCTCAGCCATCAGTGGTGAAGACTTGGGTAAATGTTTTAAATATTTAATTAAAAGGTATTATGTCTTTTCTCAAATCATGCCATTCCCCTGGCAGGAACTACCTTCCTAGTTACATTTTTTTTGAAGAAGCCTTTACAGAGAAAGGGGGATCCCAGGCATGGCAGCTTATGGTGGTAACAGAGAGAGAAAAAACCCCACATTCGGGGCACGCGAGATGACAGAGCACATTGCAAGCCAGAGAAGGGCAGGGCTCAAGTTACAGCACAGCTTGGGCTTCCCCTAGGTAAACTCTTCAGCTTTAGAAAACGCTGATGAAAACAGAACAGGATGACTAACAAAGACAGGAGGCTGTGCAGGAAACAGGCAAGCCGTTCAGCAAGTCACAGCAAGTGGGGCTCACGCACGTGCCGCAGGCTCTCGAGTGAGGCCTCTGCTATTTCCAAGCTTCCCCTAAACAAACTGCTCACTCATTTAGGCCCCATCCCTAGCACTAACCTGACAGGCTCCTTCACCAAGAATCCAAGACAGAAAACCTGCCTTGACCAGGGGCTGTCTCAAGTCACTTTCTGAAAGCCCACTACATAATAAGGCTTTAGTGACATAGGTGGGACGAGGCTTTGAGACCAGAGGGAGGATCTGCTGGGTGACAATCGGATGGCGCTAGCTCTGTCAAAGTGGCTAGACCCACTGGGGCAAGTGAGGTGCACTCACATAGGGAAATGCATGAGGATCACAGTCTCTCCGTTAGAACAGAGGTGACAAAAGTACCTTGGTGCTCTCCTTTGTGTCTTCAAAAAGCTCCACCTTGAAGCGTGTGCCATTAAGGAAGACGGTGGAAGAAGGCTCGGAGTCATGGAGTTCCGACAAGGTCAAGGCACTGAGCTGCTCCTCCAGGGACAGCACAAGGCCCTCTCCCCGCAGTTCTGCTGGATCCAGGGCCTGAGTAGGATAAGAAAGGGGCCAGGAGCAGCTGGGACTCCAAGCAGCACGCCATATCACTTGCTGATGAGGTTCTGATTGTTTAACACTTCACAGAGCAAAATGCCTTGTAATTTATCATCAGTAACTCCTCAGAGAAGCCATCAAAGTGTGATCTTGCAAGTTTTTCACCAGACTGAACATAAACCAAATGATGGAAGCTTTTTTAAAGACCCACCAGACAGATTATATAATCATTCTGTTTTTCCCAGTGAGAATACAGCTAATTAAGCTATTGATAGTCAACATACATTATTCCAGCTCCTGAAAAGAACAGCACACTCCTCTTAATTCTGGATCTGCCTCTACCCAGTGCAAAGGCAGCTGTTCCATTTGTTTAACTACCTGAGTTTTCCTAACTAGATTGAACAGCCTTGATAATTCTAAAGGCAGAAAAGAAAACACCGATAAATAAATTAGCTTTATGACATTCTGAAATGCCAAAGCATTCATAAATGGTTTCTTAATTTTAACAAAATGTCATTTTTGACTCTAAATCAACGTTTATCTAAAATGAAACAGACAACAGAAATACACTGTTCTCAATGTTATGGGAATCACAATGATTAATATAAAATAAAGTAAAACAAACAAAACAAACAAGCCCCCTTTTCTCTGCCTCACCAAAAAATAAAACCAAAAAAAACTCAAAACACTACTTCCTTTGATCTAGCAGACTAGATCCCAGTTGCAAGAAACAGAAATGGACTTCTGTGGTGGCCCCCGGGCATTGGGTGACACCATGCTACCGGCTTGCTTACCGACTTCAGTAAGGAAAGATGACAGCAACACTGGCGGAGTCTTAGCAGCTGGGACAGGATGTGGGCGGTGCTGGACCTCTGCACGTCTGCGGCTGCAGGTCCAGGGCCCGTGCCCTCAAACTCCTGTGCCACTTCCAGGAGGGAAGACAAACCACGGGAAATAGCATGGGATTTAAAACCAAGAAATGCAAAGACTCGGGAACTAAATACAGCTACTTTAAACTTGTTTGATCTGAGCTTCAATTTTATCATTACAACTCATTTTTATACCAATTAAGCCAAAGCTATCTGCATCTTGATAAAGCAGATTTGAAAAAGAAGCTTAGATCAGCAGGTCTGATACTTGCAGGTTAATATATTTCCCCCTGGTTTCAGGTTTTTAGCTCACAGAAAGTCTCTGATTCCAAGGATTCATAACCTCCTGTTTCTGTGTTGTCCTGAACCTGAATCCATTTCTGTTAGTCGTATGTGTGTCTGAGCATCCCATGGCTTACCTCTACTGAATGGATTATCAGGGCTCCTTCCAGATTGGCTGCCATTACTTTCATGTCTTTTTAGATAGGATTGCAGAGCTGACCTGCCTCAGTTGAAAAAAGAAAATGCATGTATAATGGTCACTAGGAACAAAAGGTTTACAACGGTCACTGCTTAACTGTGCCTGCACTGGGATCTTAGCAAATTACAGGTGTGAACTTGTTTCATGCTGCCAAGCTCATAGCAAGGGCTGGCCAAAGGCAATGCAAAAGAAATAATTATTTTACTTCTAAAATCATTTTTTGAAATAAGCTAATCAACATAAAGTCTAAAAAGAGAAAAAATATATTTATAATGAAAATGAGAGGTAACGGACAAGACAGAATAAATCTGGAATTCAGGGAAGGATAAGAGTTCAAGAGAAAGCGCAAAGAACAGACAACATGAAAGATTACAAAGCAGTTTCTTTTTAAAAAAAAAAATTCCAGATGTTGGATGACAGGTCAAAGGTCAAAGAGATGTAATTTTCTATACAGCCCCACGAGAACCACAGATTCGGTATTCAGTGACCACACTCCTGACTACTTCCACATAAGGAAGAAGGGTGGAGAAAGGGAGATTTAAAAAAGGAATTTAGAAATCCAGCTTATCAGTAAGACCATAGATACAGTTTCTGGAAATCTGAGCCTCAGCTCACTCACTCCTACAGAAAGGGGGGGCTGAACAATACACGCAAGGTGCCTCTTCACCGCACACACCTTGACCTTGCAAAAAAGACATTGTAAACAGTCTCTTCATCTTCAGAAAGCTTTAAATGGTGTAACTGAAATTTACGTTGGGGCAGCATCACCTGGAAGAATAAAAGAAAAAAAGAAGCTGAAATGAAGCCGTGTATGTATGAAGTAACTGGATATCACAGACTGAGGGAAGGCAGCTTCTGCCCTTTCCGAAAAACAGGACTGCGCCCTGGGGCTCCTCCTGAAGCAGGGCAGGTGGCTATTCAACCCAAGACAAGGACAAGGTCATCCTCCTTCCCTGGCCTCCCCCAGAGACAGGTATAAACGTGATTACCAAAGGTTTGCCAGTAGAGTCCAGCTGGTCTTTTGTTCTCCTCAGCAAAAGGCTCTTGGTCAAAATACTTAACCGTTCTCCACCTTTCTTTGAACCATTGTCAACCTGGCTCCTCCACAGATCGAACTCATCAAATGGAGAACAACGAAGAAATCTTTTATGTTGAGGAGGAAGAGCCGGGGGAGAGAAGGAGAAGGATGACAGGATGGAGTAAAGGTTCAAAGTAAGAGATAAGATGAAAAACAAATCAGATTTGCTGTTACATCTGTCATCCAATCATTGTTAAAAGTAAAATTTCATAACAAAGCTCTGTAGAAAGATCAAAAGGATCCAAGTCAATAACGAAAACCACATTATAAAAAGGTGATTTTTTTTCCCCATGAACAATCCATTGTCACAACAGGACATTACAACCAATAGCTGGAAATTATTCCCAAAGCTTCAAAGGCTAGCAAAGAAATACCACATCCTCTCAGGGCTGACTTGAATAAAAGGACGACATGTTTTAAAATCAGCATTCTTTTCTGTTTGATTCAAATAAGTTGTAGTCCTGACCTTAGGCCATATGTTTTAAAGCAGAAGTAGCTCAAAACATTCACTGGACTGAAGAAAGATGACTTTTGCTTCCTTTAATTCAATCTGTCCTGTACTTTTGCATATACAGAAGCAAAATGTAATCAAAATCCTATATCAGCCAGTCAATCAACAGATATTTTCTCATAAATATTTATTCTTCTGTCCTTTACAGGGTGGCAGGCTTGCCATCTGCCACATGAGATAATCTGGCACACCCTGATGCTTTATCTCGAGACATGAAATAATGATGAAGGTTACAGACAGGGCTCACATCTACATAATTCCAAAGGGGTTACTCACTTCAGCAGCGAGTACATATCCAACAGGTTGTTTTGAATGGGGGTTCCGGTGACAGCCCAACGGGCCTGGGCTCGTAGCTTGCACACTGCCAGGGACGTCTGCACTCGGGGGTTCTTAACGCTGTGAGCTTCATCCAGTATGATTCGAGCCCAGACTATTCGAAGCAAAGGTGTTGTGACACCCTGAAACACAGGTGAAATCCAACAGCAGCTTGGGAAATGGACATGTCCTCAAGGAGGTAACAGAAAATAGCCAGGTATTAAGGATCCACTTTTACAAAAAAATTGCTTAGAGCAGGAATAATAACATAAGAGTTAAGAAACTAAAAAGTAGATCCATTCAGCTGGTTCAAATAAGCAAGTTACCTGCGGGTCTCAGGCCTTGAGCTTAAAATGCCTAAGAGTAAAGTATTTAGTCTTCCAACCTACATTTAAGCAATAGCTATAGGCCAGCACTATGGGTATTGAGCTTGCAAATTCACTCACTCACCAATGCCCTACAGGCAGGGCGTGGTGGCTCATGTCTGTAATCCTAGCATTCAGGGAGCAGAGGTGGATGGACTGCTTAGCTCAGGAGTCAAGACCAGCCTGAGCAAGACCGAGACCTATCTCTATTAAAATAAAAACAAAAACAAACAAACAAACAAACAAACTAGCCAGGAGTGGTGGTGGGTGTGTGTAGTCCCAGCTACTTGGGAGGCTGAGGCGAGAGGATCACTTGAGTCCAAATTTTGAGGTTTCTGTCAGCTATGATGCCACAGCACTCTACACAGGGTCACAAAGTAAGACTATATTTAAAAAATATATATTGACTACACTTTACTATATTTGCTAAAATTTACTAAAACCTACTGTTAGATGTAAGATACTAAGCCAGACATGAAAAATAGTTCCTACCCTCAAAAGCTCAAAATCTAGCAGGGGAGAAAAATAAGTACAAAGATAATTATGACCCACTGAATATATAATAAGTCCCCCTGGATGACTCAATGTGTGAAGTAGGAATCCACCTGGTCTTGTTCCCTGCTGGATCCCAGATCCTGAAATAGCACCTGACCTACAGCAGATACTCAATATCTGCTGAATAAACAGTGCTACAACATAAGTTCAGTACAAGGTGCTCACAGAAACAAACATCCAACCAAATGGGGGAAGGGAGGAAGGGGGTGGTCCAGAAAGCATCCCTGAGGCAGGTTAAAAAAACATTAACCTGGGGGCAGCACCTGGGGCTTGAAGGAGTAGGGCCCTGGCCCCATACACCAGAGTTGGTGGGTTCAAACCCAGCCCCGGCCAAAAACTGCAAAAAAAAAAAAAACCTGGGAAAAGGAGAGAAGCACTTCATTCAGAGGGAGAACAAAGGCACATGGCGGGGCGGTGGGATGGTAGGACAGAGCCCTTGGTATGCTGAGTGGGAGCTGCCCCTGGGAGGGGCGGTGTGGAGGAGGGGCCAGGGACACTTGGGTAGGGCAGATCATAAGGCATCTGACGTGTTATATAAAGGGATTTGGTGTTTTCCAAAAGCAATGGTGAACCACTGAGGAATCTGGAAAAGTTCATTATTTCTACGAAGTCAGAGTTGGTCATGCTGGAGATGTGGTCTAGAGATCTCTCCAAATAAAGCTATCTGTGAAGACCCTATTGTACTAAAAAGGAAGACGTATGCAAAAGATCAGTTCTTAGGATGCTACTGTGCTTTGGAGGAGGAAGGGTCCTGAAAACAATTATGTAAGAATCATATGACTGAGACTACCCTGGATCTACTAGCTACCCTCAGGTTTTCCTAGTGGTTCTCATCTAGCTTCTGGCCCATTTGCAGTCCTATCATTTGCAACCCTTTTTTTCTGAGCGGTAGAGGTAGGCAGGGAATGATGGCTTAACACTAAAATACCAGTGCTAGCCTACCAGTCTACGCAATAAATCATGAGCATATACCCCAAATTCTCTATAATAAATGCCACGACGGAAGCTCTCCCATATTCAGGTGATTATTATCACCACAATTACACTGTAGTTATCTTTAGTTGTGAAACACATCTGAATACTGTGCCAAATATCCACCTTTATCACTGAGGCAGTTGCCTAGGATAAGGGCAATGGGATGAGGGAAAGAACTAATCTTTTCCAAAGGTGGCAAATTTAGGGCATCGCTGACCTCACAGGAAGAAGCTTTTGCTATCTCTGGGGCTGTAAAAGACTCCTTTAATGATGTACAGGTCCACCCTCCCTGTCCCAGCCACCCCCAAGCCTCACCTTCACACTGAGGTTTGCACCTGGGAGCTCTCCTTCTTTGTTCTTTGTGGGAATCTCTTTGGCCACAAGGCTATAGGTAGTGACCACAATGTCGTACGTAGAGAGGCTGCA